ATCAGCTTTCTATCCATAACACTGGTGCAGTGACTGTGGTGTAAGAAGTGAATATCTTTTATAGAAAAACAAAGACATGAATCGGATAAAATACAATGTTAAATTAGATTCATTTTGTTCATTAGTTGAATGATTTCATTTCCTACGCTAATGATTGCTTCATTGATTATTTTGATTTTTAGATGATTGGATATTAGGAGAAAAAATATTATGATATCAATTAGAAATGCTCTGATGCTCTGTGTGTCATGGTTCTCCACAATGTCCTACCATTTGTGGCTTTCAGTAATATTTCCGCTTTTATGACGAGTTTTTGTGGTACCTGTTCCCCCATCTATTTGATTGAACTAATCAACTAGCTTCTGTTTTTCTCTGTTTCATAGTCAATCATGGTTCTCCACAACATCCTATATTTTGTTGTTCTCAATAATATTTACTTCTTTATGACTCATTTTTGTCTTTGGGGTACTTTTCCCTCCATCTATTTGATCAAAATTGTCAAGTAGTTTCTATGTGTCATAGTCAATCATGGTTCTCCACAACGTCCTGTCTTTTGTTGTTCTTTTTAATACTTGCTCCTTTGTAATTTGTTCCTCCATCTATTTACAGGGACTTGTCAAATAGATTCTCATCCTCTCTTACTATGTGCTATGTCACTTTAAAAAACAGATAATCGTGGCTCTCCATCACTTCTAGGCTTTTGCTGCTTTCATTAATACTTTCATATTTATAAACTCATTTAATCTCTTCATTAAGGATTTCATCAGAAATTATTAAAACATTTTGTCTGAATTTTTAAAATGTGCTATTATTATAAGCATACACTTATTTGTTTCGACTTTTCGGTTGTTATAATTCCAAAGTTTTGTCTTGTTGTAGCTAATCATCTGGGGATTTCAAACCAGAGTTTTATTCAATTCACAGGAGGAGAACGTTCTAATTCCAATTAATTTTAGATTTCATCTCAACACTTCAGACAAATCACAAGAGACATTTTCAAGGAAATCATATTGTCCAGATGATATTTGTTTTTCTATTATAACCATTATTTTAAAAGGATAAGTAAATTGCCGCTAATTTTTTTATCTATGAAATGGTATTTTTATATATGAAATTGGTGTATATATTTTACATTGTATGAATACTTTTTTCGACCATTAAAATGGATAAACAGGATTTGTTTCTATTAAATCAAATTTGTTTGTTTTCTATGCATATTTAGCTATTAATGCATCTGTTGACAGTTAATTATATGAAAAATATGTTTATTCATTAGTTGGAAATACAATAAACTAAAAATTTGTATATGTACGAATATTTGTCCCCCCCCCACTGTACGTATGGATATGGATGATATGCAGTAACAAAAATTAGTAAACAGAAATTATTGTTTTAATTTTACCTAAGTGTCTGAATACCTGAATAAAATGAAGCAAAGTAATTGACACTGAACACCCTCAACGAGTGCACAATGAAATAATTTATCTATTTAGTGTTTAGTAAATGAAAAGAAAAAATATTACAGCATAAACTACTTTTCTGACTATCAGATCTTTAAGCTTCTGATGTCTATTCATATTAAGAAAGAAAACCAACTTTTCTTGAAATGCAAAAGGAATTAAAGAAGAAATTTCTAGCCAACAAGCAGTTTTTTTTGAAACCCTTTTTGAAATTTCTTGAACATCTCATACATTGTTCAAGGTTTCTATAACTGTTATATATGCTACGTAGAGCACTTAAAAGTCTAATGGGACATGTATATCATACTTATATTTTTAAAATAAAGTGAAATTCTCAGGACTTTAAAACTTCAGACAATGATGTTATCACAGAAATTTGGTCACAAGACAAAACAGGAAAAAACTTTATTTACTAATTCTGTGTTTTTTATCTTAAAGTTTAGTAAATTGCCACTATTTTTTTATGAAATAGTATTGGAAAGTTCTTGGACTGGAATCTCTTGGCATACCTAATAATGGGTTGTAATTATGTGAGAGAACTGATAAATTGTTTGGTAATGGTCCTGACTGATGAGTTCACAAAATTCTTTGCACATTTGCTGACATTTTATTATTGATTAGTCACCTTCAATGCTCATTGTCTTGAAGTGACAGACAAATGGCATTGAAACATGTGTGCTGTTCAAAAACCTGTGTTTAATCTTAAAAGTGTTTGCCAAAAGTCTAACAAAGTATTCAGAGAACCTTGGAAGCCAATTTGTTAAGCTTCATTCAAATTTTCATACAGGCATGTTGCTAATATTTGTCTGCCATTGTAATGCTCACAGATCATGTTCCTTATGAAACCTAGTGTAAATACTGAACATCAGCAGCCAGCTCAAAGTCTATTGGTAGACTGACTCAGTGTAGGTACCAATAAGCATTAGCTATATATTTCTGATAAACAGTAAAATACTGACTGATTTGTTTTTATAGCTTATCAACCCTTTGTAACTTATTTAAAACTGAAACCTATTTTGGATTATGGAAGATCACTTACAGTATTCTGTGTTCCAAGTGAATCCCCCTCATCTAATTATTGACTGAGATAGATAATGTTTAATTTCAGTGATCAAATGAGAACCTAGGCTTTCAACATGATCTCACTGTAAACTGAAAAGTACAATCTCAATATCTACACTGCAAGATCATTCTGAGACCACTTCTTCTTATCGATGTCCAATGACTTGTTATGTGAAAATGCATCAAGAAAAACACAATTTTTAATTTCATCTCAACATCTGTGGATCTTGGAAGCCAGTTTTGTTTTTATGATAACCATTTGTGGGTTACTTAAATTTGTAAAACATTTTTGATGGTAGGAGATTACTTAAAGTACCCAGTGTTCCTAAGCAGTCCCCCATCTAAGTACTGAGAAATCTAGAACAAGTGTTTTCAGCAGGATTTAACTGTCAGCTGAACGGTACTATCACAACATGTGACATTTTGGTCAATTACTTTTTATCTATTGACCTGTAGGAAATTAATCCTCTGGAAATTTTAAAAAGGAATGTAAAGTAAGTTGTCTACAGGTAAGAATTAGATGAACATTTGAAGATTCAATGGACATTTCAGAAAGTATCTAGTCCATTATTGCCAGTTCTTCAAGTTGAAGAGAAGGACAACTTCAAATTCAATACCATGGAGAAGACAACAGGAAACCACTCTGCTACCTTTCCCAAAAGCTCATGGCAATTCATGAATATTAAAAAGAGGGAGGCTGTGGAAAGACATGACCTTTTTCAAAAAAGATAGGGGCATTAAAAAGAACTTTATACACTTATATAATACTACAAAACTTATATTGCGCTTCATTTTCTGAAATAAATCTTAAGTCTTCAATATTTCCTGAATATGAAACCAGGCAAATAAAATTCTATTTATCACTGAATAATTATGTAGTTTTATTTATGCTGAGAAATTTTCCAACCATTTTGAATGCTTCAAGAACTGTCTCCATGGCCTCAATAGACTTTAAAATCAGTAACAGAGGACTGTCCCTGCTCATGTGTGAACAGACGTTCTGCAGTAAGTTTACTCATTCAACACTGAGCTGCTATTAAGTGAGTTAAAGTAAATAAATAAAAATATATATAATTTTTTTTTTTAAAAATCAAGTCAGTTCGTTTTATGTCCTATATTTTTCATAAATATTGCCAAGAATATTGCAATATTGCATACTGTTCTTCTTCATTTAAATTTTATCTTTCCTTCTCCACTTGAAATTTCATTCTTTCCTTCTTCCCTTTTCAAATTTTCCTTTCTTTCTTCCCTTTTCAAACAATATGTCACACCGATGATCCCAACGTGATTTGAACATGAACCCTTTTGATCTGAACACACATATGCCACAAGATCATTAACAATCATTAAACAGCAAATGAGATCCTTACCATACATGAGTATTTACAAATAATAAAGGAATCAGTTTAATGCATTTTTTGAACATCTGGAGATTGATCACCATGTGAAAAGTAAACAGGCTATAAAAATGAAGCAAATATTATCAACAGCAAGCAATAATCTGAAGTTGCAAGATTGTGCAGGAAAATATTAACATTCATCAGGTTGAGAAAAAGTATTTGCAAATAGATTCCGTTTCATTCATGGAAAAGCCGACATATGAAATAAAAACATACAAGAAACGCCTCAAATAGGGACAGGAAAAAAAAGACAAAAAAAAAGATAGAAAAAGAAAAGATGAATCTTCCTGATGTAAATATCAATAAATTAAAGACGTAATAAGTGAATGTCATAAAGATCTATTTTTCAATGTGTTCAACTCAAAGATTGTGAAAGGATTTATTAAACAAAAACCGAAAGCAAGTATTAAGAACAGGATTCATTCAATTTTTTATTTTTTTCAACTTAATTCGGTTTAGGAATAGATATTCACTGTGGCTAAAGGGGAAGAAGGATAAATATGGTAGAGAAAAAATATTGAAGAAGGCAATCATGAATATTAAAAAAGAAATTGTTTGAAACAGAAAACAAAGAGAAGATGGGTAAAAGGTTGAAATCAGAATTGACAAAGGAGAACAAAAAAGGAAACTAAAAGAAGGAATGGAAATAAGGAAAGGAAAAGGGGAAAGGAAAGTAAAAAGAAAAGAAAAAAGAAGGAAAGGACTAAAGGTAAAAATAGAAAAGGAAAAAGAGAGAAAGAAAGGAAAAATTGAAAGAGAAGAAGGAAAGGAAAAATTGGAAGGAAAAATTAAATATAAAGGGAAGAAGGAAATATAAAGAGAAGAAGGAAAAAGGAAAGATAAAATTTGAAGAATAAAGGAAAGATAAAATTTGAAGAATAAAGAGAGAAGAAATCTCAAGGGGAGATGAAAAGATGAAATCTCAAGGGGAGAAGGAAAGATAAAATTTCAAGAGGAGAAGGAAAGATGAAATCTCAAGGGGAGAAGGAAAGATAAAATTTCAAGAGGAGAAGGAAAGATAAAATTTCAAGAGGAGAAGGAAAGATGAAATCTCAAGGGGAGAAGGAAAGATAAAATTTCAAGGGGAAAAGGAAAGATAAAATTTCAAGGGGAGAAGGAAAGATAAAATTTCAAGGGGAGAAGAACCGGTAAAGTTGCAAGGGGAGAAGAACCGGTAAAGTTCTAAGGGGAGAAGAACAGGTAAAGTTTTAAGGGGAGAAGAAAAAGTAAAGTTTGAATGAAGAAGAACAGGCAAAATTTGAATGAAGACGAAAAGATAAAATTTGAATGAAGAAGGAAAAATAAATTTAAAGGAAGTAATAATGATAAAATTGAAAGTGAAGAAGGAAAGGAAAATTTTGAAGGGGAGAAAAAGAAAAAGGAAATTTGCAAAGGGGAGAAGGAAAGGATAATTTTGAAGGGGAGAAAAAGAAAAAGGAAATTTGCAAAGGGGAGAAGGAAAGGATAATTTTGAAGGGGAGAAAAAGAAAAAGGAAATTTGCAAAGGGGAGAAGGAAAGGAAAATTTTGAAGGGGAGAAAAAGAAAAAGGAAATTTGCAAAGGGGAGAAGGAAAGGATAATTTAAAAGTGGACAAGCAAAGACAATGCTGAAAGAGAATGAGGAAAGACAAAGTGGAATGTATGGAAGGAAGAAAGAATTTTAATGGAAGTTGCAAAGGAAAAACTGAAATATTTACATCAGAGAAATAAAGCATTCAAAAATGGAAAATATATTGCAATAATGACAAATTAACGAAAATAAATTATCTAAATGAAAGAAAAAAAGGAAATAATAAAGGAGAAACATAAATGTTATTTGAAAAACTATAAAAAAGGAAGATGAAACAAAGATAATAAGAGTAGAAAGAAACAACAGATGAAAAATAAATGAAAGAAAAACCTCAAAAATCTTCTCCATTTAATAAACATTTTTTTTAAATCTAACAAAAAATCATTTAATTACAAATATATATTTTTATTTTCACTTTTCATTGGTGATTCATAATTCCAAAGCAAGAATTTTACTTGGATAAATAAACAGAACTTGAAGAACTACCAAAGACCTTTTTTTTATTATTATTATTATTCCTTTTCATCAAGAGAAAATGTCCTAATGATAAATGCCATCATCAGGTTTCTTTCTTCCTTTTTTAGGTACATAAGAATAACAACATTTTCTAAAATTCATGAATTTATTTTTCCACCATTCCATAATCCAATCTTCAAGCCAATCACTGATCTCTGCAGATAGAATAAAGAGGAACATTGAAAATGTTTTTAAAATGCCATCGAAGCAAAGCCCTTCTTTCTAATTATAATACTGCCATTGGAAAGTAACTTTCAAGGTGCATTTTGTTTTTCAATGTTTCTATAACAAAATATAACTTAGCAGTTTTTTTTTTTCTCTTTTTCTCATTCAGAATTTTTCTGTCTTTTCTTTCCCTCTTTTTAAAATGTACGAGTTGCTAAGCGAAATGGTCTTATTTGTTTTCCAATCTAGATTTCTTTCTTTGGAGAGGCTTTAATTTTTATTTAGTTTTGCACATAAAATATTTCTGGCTTAGTTCTTTTTTTCCGACCCATTTGCAGTAACTGAACTAAATAATATGACAAATTGAGGACAAAAAAGGGGGGGGGGAGAAAAAACTAATCAATTTGAAATATGATAATCTCCATAAAGGTTTCTAATAAAGAATAAAAAAATGTTCACACCAAAAATAAAAAGTAAAGATGCAAATCATTCCCTGGTATAGGAACGATATAAACATGTTTAGCCTAATGGTTAGAGCTACAAACAGGAGATAACAAAACAGCTCTTTCAACTAACAATAGAAAAGAATCATTTTCCATTATGAAGATGGTCTTTTGTTTTGTTTGTTTAGTGGCATATCAACTCCTATATGGGTCATTTAATACTAAAATTTAATTTTCTTGGGAGCATTAGTAATTTCTTTTACAAAAATGCACTGTTGTAATATTTTTTTCAAAAATGCATTGCTGGTAAAATTTTTTTTTTTTTTACAAAAAATATACTGGTGTTAATTTTTTTATAAAACTGTATTGCTGGTAATTGTTTTATTACGAAAATATATTGTTGGTATTTTTACTATAAAATGTCTTTTTATAGTGGCACGGATTGAGGAATTGGAGAGCTGAGTTCGAATTCCAGTATAATCCTTTACATTCACTTCTGTGCTAATACTCTTGGGAAAGGTATGAATCTTCTTCTTCTCCACCCCCAATATATGGATAAATAGCAGGACAGACTGGGTTCTATAGCCTTGGATGGCAACTGGTCTACCACAGAAAGAAATGGCAACCTAAAAAAATCTGCCTCGTTAGTCACGTATTGAAAGATACATGATCGTCTAAGCGTGTATCATGCATTGCATATAACTGAGTGAGTGTTTTGTGGGTTAACTATTTACCCATCGTTGGGACCCTAACAGATGCTAGGACTGCAGGTCAGGGTGTATCACAGAACAACAGCAATTAAGAGGTGTCTCCATGCTCATCAAAACCTGATCAGAGGCCTTGCTCCCAGATGTAGTGTTTTGTTATACCCAGATGTTCTTTTAATATTGGCAATGTACTTTTGCTATCTTTAGTAATATCAGGTTTTGTTGCTTTTGGTCATCTATACTTCAACAAAAGCACTTGTGAATTTAAGCAAGATTTCATCACATAACAAAAACAAAACTGGCATGTCATTAAAATGTGTGATGCACAATATTTTTCACACAATTTTTTCTTCACGGGACGAAAATGACATTCATGTTGACACAACTACACATGTGAAGACTGAAATTTTTTATTTTTTTGTTAAATATATATCTATATATTATGAAATGGACAAAGTCTGGCAATTATTTAATAAGGAGAGTGGGCTTGAAAAATTCAATAACTCACAGGACAATTGAAGGTAAGAGTAATAGAGGAAAACAACTCAATCTACTTCGCAAGGTTGTGTAAATGGATAGCAGAACAGGCGTTACGAGTGATACCAAAAAGATTACTAAGAGTTACAAAGGACTGGAAATTGTGGAGAGCCATGATCACCTACAACCTCAAAGGACATGGTACATAGGAGTCATGAGAAATTCCTACTACAATTCATACAGTGGTATCATTTATGAAGTATTTTCACATTTTAAAACCTAGTTATAAAATTTCTGACATCCCGTAATTTTTATGGTATACAAGATCTACCTGGAAAATTTACAGCCATTTTGAATATTTCAAGAATTTGTTTCATAACCTTAATGTGAATTCAGGTGAGAAAAAAAGCTCTCCTGTGAGGTTACTCATTCAAGTAACTGAGTTTCGGTATTATGTGTCCATTACATTCACAAGGAAATTCTGCACTGAAATTTGCATGGGTTTCTAAGCCACTTTATGATAGCATAGAGTTTAGATTTTAGCTCAGTGTGTGGACTTGCTTTTCCCAAAGCTAAAATTATTGTTTAAAGGAAGATTTCAGACAGTAGACAGGATTAAAGATAAGTTAGCTGATGCTGATTCAAATTGGAGATTCAAAAAGTGAAAGTGACATAAGTATTTGAGATCACAGGGTATAAGGCCCTGTTACTCTAGGTAGGCTATTTTTAATGATATTAAATAGAAACTTTCTGGATAGATCTTGTATTTCATTACTATGAAGAAATTAGTATAGGTAATATTAGCAGTTATAAGGAAACATTTGCCATTAACTGACTGGGCAGCCAGAGTTACTTTCGATTAAAATTTATAAAATCTTTCTTTTAAACTATTTTAACTAAGTCTTCTGTAGTTCAGAAAAAGTTATTGCTCTTTCCAAAATTTTTGAAGGCTTACTTCTGAAACTTTTTATTTGAAATAGTGTCATGCATCAACAACAGGTTTTTTATTATACTCTCTGACTATCCATTTTAGTTGTTGCTGCTGTTAGTAGTCTTCAAATGACATGGTTTCTGTTATCTGGTAGTCTTCAAATGACAACAAAGAAGGATGGTTTCTGTTATCACAGGCTTACTTGTCATTTTTTTTTCATTGTGATTCTTTTAGACACTAGTCTGCATGACATCCAATGAAAGGTCCTATTTAAGAATGAGAAGGATGGTCTTTCACTCAAAGCCATTTTAATCATTGATCTGAGGTGATTTTTCACTGATAGTTTTGTTCTGAAAGTCATTTTAATCTTGATCTTAGAAAGAATGAGAGAAGGATTGTATACTGAGAACAGACAGCATTTTCTGAACTGAAGTTATTCTGGGACAGTTTAGATATTCTGAATGCATGACATCATCCATATGAAAGTCTTGATCTGATGAAGCTATTTAAGAATATTTAAGAATGAGAAGGATGGTTCCTATCTGACAGTTTAGATATTTCTGAAGAACCTACATCCTATCAAAGTCTTGATCCTATTTAAGAATCAAAAGCCATTTTATCATTGATGTGAGAAAGTGATTCTATACAGCTGACAGTTTAGATATTTCTGAATGAATTTTGCAGCATGCATGACATCCATATCAAAGTCTTGATCTGATGAAGCTATTTAAGAATGAGAAGGATGGTCCTCACTGAGACCTACATGCTTCACTCACTCAAAGCCATTTTAATCATTGATCTGAGAAAGTGATTCTATACAGTTGACAGTTTAGATATTTCTGAATGAGTTTGGCACCATGCATGACATCCATATGAAAGTCTTGATCTGATGAAGCTATTTAAGAGTGAGAATGATGGTCCTCACTGAGACCTACATGCTTCACTCACTCAAAGTCATTTTAATCATTGATGTGAGAAAGTGATTCTATACAGCTGACAGTTTAGATATTTCTGAATGAGTTTGGCACCATGCATGACATCCATATGAATGTCTCGAAGTGACAAAACTATTTAAGAAGAAGACTCATATTCTAAGGTAAATGCTTTTGTTTTTGTAGCAACTTGAATTGTTGGCAAAAACTGCTGCTAACACAACCTATTCTACATACAATTTCCTTATCTCCTATACAAAATTTCTTATAGCTTACCAATACACCAAAGCATTTGAAGTGTTAATATTTATTAATTCCACATTCTGAATTTTTATGGTGATTTCAGAGTAGCTGCTATCATGGATTTCATTATAATTCCAGATCATAGTTTTTGTTTTGGAAAGGTTTATCGTAAACCCTATTTCTTGGAACAATAGGTAGAAAATGTTGATTTTCTGTTCAAGATTATTCTTATCCCAACTATGAATACCTATGTCATCCGTATAGCACCCCCACTCATCAGTACGTTGGCTTTGAGTGGGAAAAGCAATGGAAATCGGCATTTGAAATATTGGCTTTTATTTGAGCTTAAACACTAACCTCTAACAGGTAGATTTATTTTACTAAATAGTGACATTTATTAAGTGCAGCTTAGAATAGGTCAAGCTGAAGTCATAGGAAAGTGTGGGCAACAGTACTTCATTTTCGACCTGATCTGGCTCTTTTAAAAGTTAGAGGATAGCCTTAGAAGTCTGGTACTTACTAAAGTGGTACGATCATTTACCTACATCTTTAGTGATGGATCATACATAGGAATTCCATTTGTGGTTGAGTGTGAGTTTGAGGCCCAGTATCCTCTAAAGCAG